ATCTTTTTCATTGGATTGTTTGACAAGAAATTGTGCAAATACATTCAACGGTCTGATGTACCCATTTAGTCCTGTAGATAAACCTGAGAATACATGTTTGACAACCAATTCATTGCACACGTCACTTGCCTCTGTTGGAAACTTCTAAATTAGTTTGAAGGTGGTTTCAAAGTATCCTATCTTAATGTTTCTTGTTGGTTTCTTTTAATTTGGTTGTTATCGTATATATTTGGCTATTTTTATTGACACGGTTATTTTTAGCCGGACAATTTTTGCGAGCATGAAATTATGTAAAGGCACCTATCTGTTGAAAATGTTATCTTGACCCATTGATGATTTGGGTTCATTGTGTTGTTGAAATGCTGTCCCATTGACGCATACCTACATTACCTATTAATCATAATAGTATAAATTGCAATATGTCAGATAAAATCCTTTCGTTTAGAATGAGGTTTAAGGCACACATCAATGAGACAGCAACCCATAAAGACACAAACCTTGAAGAGATATCTTACTTTATTCTTATATACAAATATTTTTTCTACGTCACATTTGATTTGGCAATGACCAATGGATGCAACTTTGTATACCCTATCATTATTGCCCGTGTTACGTGTACATCCTTAAAAAATAAAACTACATGTATTGAATGGATAAACCCTCACGAATTGTTAATCGTACAATTTATTTTTTTCAACAGTACATTTCTTCTTTGTTGGCTAAAGAAAAAATGTAACCATATTGACTTCAATAACATGCGTATTTGACCTTTATATATCAAAAATGTGTATTCATATGTTTGCCTGTATTAAGTATCCCTATACTAAAAGAATTGAAATAGTTGAGTTGAAATTGAAGACTGTCAACGATAATGTAAAGTAAATTAGCAAAGACGTGCAAACGATCAAAAATTAATTTGAAAGATTTGCATGTAATACTGTGGGTTCAAGAAATATATTTTTAGTGGTTTCAGTAGTTCATTTTGATTGAAGTCATCGTTAAATGAGCGACCTGAAATATATGATTGTTTTTTTTTTTGGTTTTTTTTTTGGGGGGGGGGGGTTTCATTGCTGTCACATTAGCATACAACCAACACCTCCAGGTATTGAAGATATTGATTAGATGCCTATTTTATGGAGGAGAAAATAGAGAACCGAAATATACCAAAGGCATACGCAAACTCGTAAGTCGAAAACGAACTAATAATGCCATGACAAAAACGGACAACGACCAAAAGACAAACAACAGTATACAAAACTCAACATAAAAAGACTACAGACTGAGCAACATGAACTCCACCAAAGATCGAGGATGATTGCATGTATTCAGGTAGGGTAAAGAGATACTGCTCCACATGTGGCTTCCGTTGTGTTGCTTATGTAAGTACAAACTAATTGATAAGTCTAATTCGGTATGTCACATTCGAGGAAATGAAGTGATAAAATGTTTGTAATGATTGTTAAAAAAATGAATAGCTACGTTTGGTTAGAATTCAGAACATTTCACATATTGCAGCTGTGTTTAGATTTGTAAGGTTTTGTAAATAACAAAGCAGGTTCGATTTAATTTCAACATTGACCAAGTATATTTACGTTATGCATAAAAAATGTTAAAACTCGAAAACATGCTTTTCAAAATTTCATACTTAAAATCTAAATTAATTTGATTGTAACAAAGCTTTACGATAACTTCATATCGTAAAGCTTTGTTACAATCAAATGTTCACTTTTAACGATTTTGTTTATCTTTCATACAATTAACTTCTAGAAATTATCAAAAAACTAAGCAGTTAACTCCCTGAGAAAAGTTGACCATAGATGGACTTGGCTATCGTTTTATGACCTTTTTAGGACGTACAGCTCTTCGACATCTTCGGTTCATATACTTCCTTGACTTTCAAAGTTTTGGCTTTGAGCGTTCATAATGAAGGTAAATAAGGGAAGAGTATTGTTTTCTTTTTTTTCCATAGCCAATAAGCAAATAGACCATTGACTGCTGTACCCCTATTTTTGACATTTTTACCTATTATGTCTGTTTGTTTTGTTCACACATCGTTGTCAATATAATGGAATTTTATGCGACTGTCATACAAGTGAGAGGTTTAGCTAGCTAGGTTTAAAACCAGTACAGTTCGTTTAATTTGAACCAAATAAAGTTAAAACAGATACTTGGGTCATCATTTTTTTTATATTTGGGTCATTCTCACAGAGAATCGATGTTGTGTTCCTTCACATTATGAATTGATGACAACTATGTAAGTTGCAGAATTTGGTGGTACGTAAATTTAGTGTTACACAGGAAAAATTGCAACATATGTTTTTCATATGTTTTCAAAACATATGAAAACCATATGATTTACATATGTTTTGAAACATATGAAAACATATGGAAGCAAACATATGTTTTCATATGTTTTAAAAAATATGTTTACATATGTTTGTAAACATATGAAAAACATATGATTTTCATATGTTTTCATATGTTTTAAAGGGCATTTAAAAAAAATGTTTTGAGAAAATGTCAAAATTTTTAATTTAATTATCACATGTATTTTTTCATTCATTATCTATATAGTGTATTACTCAAACAGGAAAGTGCACTTTCTACTCTTCCCACTAAATCCCACATCATCATGATGATAAAAGCATGTCAGCCCTCAGGCTATGTCACCCCCACAGCAGAGCTATCTAATTCTGAATGGAACATAATTTAAAATAAATGAATGAGTTATAAATATTAAATAATGATATGAATAAATATTCTTTATTTAGTTTGTTCTTTATTCTCAATTCTTTTTTTTTTTATCAATAATCCCATTATTCTCTATGATTCTTTATTCCATATTTCTGCTTTTTTAGTATCTGTTCTTTATTTTTTTTTCTCTTTATTTTGCACTTTTTGTCATTATTTTCTATATTCTTAAACCCCAATCTTGATTCCAGACCATCATATATATATACGTAAATGTACGAAAGCTTGCATGGTACGTCGAATACGGAAACCCGGAAATCTTTTCAGCGTTACCGTTTTTTATACTATGACGCAAAATCCATGGACGCTCACGCGATCTACAGTTGTGGTCATTTAAAAAGTTTGAATGGACAGAGATAGATGATACAAAGAACTTTGGTTTTTCAAACTGGTGAATCAAAATTTATTATAAATAGATAAATTGAAATGGGTGACTTGTCGATTAACTGGAAGAAACCGGGGAACGAAACATAGAAAATTTATAGAAAGTCAACGCAACGAAACAGCGAAAGTGTTTTTGTTTTGATGGATAGTTTTACGTACCCTAAAAGCACAACGAATGGTAAATATTATTATTCACATTTTGTTTAATTATTGGATAAAAGCAGGAAGATGTGTGTGCTTTATTTTTCACGAAAAACTATTTGACTGTACATAGTCCGTGTAGATATTTGTAAACCTGAGTCAGAGACATATATGTGTATATATGTCTCTGCCTGAGTCTGAGAACGATATTGTAATATAAATATAATTGCATTGGGTAAACCGTTTCATTATCTATTTATAATGAGAATGTTACAAGATTAAGACACAAATACATCCCAAATAACCATATGATTTGTAAACCCTTTAGACAATAAGACAAACTTTGAAAAGGGGGGGGGGGGGGCATCATATACTTGATGTAATGTATTGAAATTGTTTATCTAATGTCACTACAGAACTTAATTACTTTAACTGATGCAGACCTGTATAATCGTGTCTTATGGTGTGTGATATTTGTATTTGTTTAGCAGTTGTTTTAAAACCACGACACTGTGCAGACGACTTTATAATCTCTTTAGCAATTAGTAGCTATTTTACAATTAATAGATAAGGGATCAATTACCCCCCCCCCCCCCCTTTTCATTTAATTTAGATTTAAAAAATGTATATATACCTTTTCATACATTGCGTAGGTAATAATGTACATGTAACCTTTTCCCAATTTTAATTATGAGTGATTCCAGGACATGCTGGAGCGGACAAGAATCACATTCTGGGATTACAGAGAAAATCATCACATTTGATTAAAGCTCAAATCTGAGGCTCAAATTCCTTATGTTATGTTAACTTAAGTCAAAACAAGACTTGCAACTAAGAAAATTACAGGGCTTTGCATATGACAAGTACAATAAGCCTTAATTATCCTGAGTCTGAGACTACTATTACTAAGTACTATAACAATAAACATCTAGTAATTCTCAGCCTTATCATACATGTATTATACTTCTGATAGTTTTCCACACCTATTCACATATTTTTAAGCTGAAAAATATGAGCCAGGCTATTACAGCGGCAGACTTATCACCTTGTACATTATAAGAAGTGGACCCCTAGAGTGCATGAATGGTTTACTTTACATATACTTTAATCTGAATATAAAAATAAGAAGATGTGGTACATGTACATGTATGATTGCCAATGAGAAGAGTCCAATTCTCCACCAGAGATCAAATGACATAGAAGTTTGCAACTATAATAAGTTATGGTACAAGATGACTTCAACAATGAGCAAAGCCCATACCACAAAGTCAGCTATTAAAGACATTTAATGAAAATGACAAATGTAAAACAATGCAAATGAGGAAACTAACAGACTGATACATGTTATGATTTCTAAACAAAACACTTAGGAACAAATAAACAAATATGATATACAGCAACAAAGTGAACAAACAACAACATGAACATTACAGGCTCCTGACTTGGGACAGGCACATACAGGATGTGGTGGAGTCAGACTAGTTTATTGGTGCCAAATCTTCCCCTTAAAGGAGCTATAATTTGTTTTAATATGTGTGTGTGTGTGTGTGGGGGTCTAGGATGAAATTTGAAAAAAGGCAGGATGAGACACTTTGCCCAAAAAAAAAGGCAGGATGACAATTGATGTAAAACAAAAGTCAGAATAAACTATAAATAAAAAAAAGACAGGACTGAATAGAGTGGAAAAATGGAAATGCAGGACAAACTTTTTCACCCTACCCCCCCCCCCCCCCTAAATCAAATGGTAGCTCCCTAACATGGGATAGTGGTGTGAAAAGGCTTAACTCATCTGACATCAGATCTGTACAAAGCAGATTTAACCACTTTGATTTATCACTTCATACAAGTCATATGGATTTAATAAACATAAGATGGATTAGAAAATTCAAATAATTTAATACTTTTTGCATAGTTAATTTTTTTTCAGGGCAAGTCTAGATCTGTTGTTCAGACTTCTTGTTTTAAAAGATCAAAATAAGCCAATTTTGTCATATAAAAAATTTTAAGGCAATAAATTTGGCAGATATATAAATATTGTAACTTCATTTTATTATACATTTGTACATGTCATACTTTATTTCTTTTAGCATTTTCAATGAAAGTACATTTTGTACTCCAAGAAGTAGAAGAATCTAAGCAACAGAACAGAATTCATTTGATGCATTGCTTTCTAGATTATATAATGGATTCATAGATTGTCATATTGATTTATATGCATATAAGGAGCAGCAGGCAATAATTATTTTGTGATGAGAGGTATGTATTGTAATGAAAAGGATAACTTTGTTTAAATATTTTGTTTATTCATGTAATATTTATGTATACCAAAGGTTTATTATATATACCAGTAATGTCTTGGATAAATTATTTATACAGGAATTACTTAACTTTGAAATATAAATTCTATGGAAGATAACCAATAAAGCACTGTTATGGTTACATTTTTTTGTCAGATATTTTTGTAATTCATACCATACATGTAGGTCTATATCAGCATAGGCTTTTATGAGTTAGAAAATAAGTGCTGATCAAATATGTTTACAGGAGTTATGCCTCTTGGAAATAGATATTGTAAGAAAAATTGCAACACACGTCTTCATTTCTTTTAGATTATTTATAATTTATGAAAAAGGTTAAAAGAACATACATATTTTTTGCTTTTTGATAGCAAATTTTATACATGTATATCCATCAATTGGCAAGGTACATTGAAAAGCTGTTCTTTTATTAAATGCATGAAGTATGGATGGTAACACAAATGACAACATATTACGTTCATGAGTTAATATTTCCTTGTCGTAAAATAGTATACGCGAAGTACTAACATTGAACTATGGTAACGTTGTAATTCTTAAGTTGTAGTGAATGACGTTATTGTATAGATTTCATAGCTACAACGACGATTAAACGAACATTGCAATCATAAGTATTTATTGAGATTCCACAACATGCCTATAAATGGTGTATTTAAACAATTTTGCCTATTTAACAGGAAACCAAGATTTATTAAACATCAAGAGTTAAGGCCTTAATCATGTTAATGTTGTTTTTTATACGACTGCAAAAACAGGCCTCTACAATAACTTTTTTTTCAACTTACTTGTCCGAATGAAATTGTAACTTGTCCAAAAAAAATCTTAATAATAACCTTTTTTGCATTTTAAGTTGATTCAAGGAACAAAATGAATTAAAATAATAGAACAGAATTTGATTTATATCTTTTGAAATACTTTTCAAAAATATGAGTTGAGAACAACTGAATCTAGTCATGTCACAGGACTTAGGTTCTAGCTTTCTTCAATGCCAAAGTCTCATCAGACTCTGCACATGAGACACCGTCTGATAGGCCTGTCAATGTACACTCATTGGATTTGTATCTTGGTTTTTAAGTTGAAAAAAGTTTTTCAAATGCAATCAATAAAAAAAAGAAGATGAGGTATGATTGCCAATGAGACAACTCTCTGCAAGAGACCAAATGACACAGAAATTAACAACTATATGTCACCGTATTGCAAGTATTGTTTTTTTCTACATATGATCAAATATGATTTTGTGAATTTTATGGTACATAATTTCTTCATTTTTATTTAAAAAATATTATTTGATAAAAAAATTACCGGTATGATATTTATTATAAAGCAACAGAATAAGGTCGGAAAACGAGGTACTGATTTGTCTTGGTCCCGAAATGTCTTCTGCATCGCCAAACTGTCTATTAATCATGTCTATTAAATATGTCTCCTACGGTGCCAAACTGTCTATTAAATTTGGAGCCGAATCATTTCCGAGCTGGTGACGAACTGTCTTGAAAAGTTACCTTATCTACAAAACACATCGCTGATTCGGATCAGTAAGACTGGTTTCCGAGAAAAGTATGCCTTTAACCTCTTAAAAAGTACCTGACAAAATCGATTGCAAGTAAACTTGTCAAATTAATACTTGTTTTTATCTTCTTTTCTTGTTTTTTGTTTATAATTACTTTGTTCATCAAAGTTGGATTAAATTTATTTTCTGCAGAATAATTTTACTTGTCCCGTCGGACAAGCTTGATATAGCTTTTACTTGTCCGACCTTTTTTTCCTCTGGTATCGGACAAGCGTTATTGTCGAGGCCTGAAAAAAAATTGCAGTCGTATATTGGTATCACGTCGTCGTTGTTGTCCGCGTCGTCCGAAGACACTTAGTTTCCGCACAATAACTTTAGTTTCAGTGAATGGATGTCTATGAAATTTAAACACAAGGTTTGAAACCACAAAAGGAAGGTTGGAATTGATTTTGGGGGTTATGGTCCTAACAGTTTAGGAATTAAGTGCCTAAAAAGGGGTCAAAATAAGCATTTTACTAGTTTCCAGACAATATAACTTGTGTGTAAGTGTATGGATCTTTCTGAAATTGTACCACAAGGTTCCATACCAAAAAAGGAAGGTTGGAATTGAATTTTGGGGTTGTGATTCTAACTGTTTAGGAATTAGGGGCCAATAACAATACTTTTCTAATACTTTGTATAAATTGCTTATTTTTTGACCAAATCAATGGGGTTTTATTCTTGAATTCTTGGGTTTCTTTAATATGCTGAATCTAACCATGTATTAAGTTTTTGGATTTTGGGCCCCGTTTTTAAATTGGTCCACATTGAGGTCCATTGGGTCCAAAATAAAACTTTGTTTGATTTCATCAAAAATTGAATTATTGGGGTTCTTTGATATGCTGAATCTAACCGTGTATTTAGATTTTTGATTTTGGGCTCTGTTATCAAATTGGTCCACATTGAGGTCAAAAGGGTCCAAAATAAAACTTTGTTTGATTTCATCAAAAATTGAATTATTGGGGTTCTTTTATATGCTGAATCTAACCATGTATTTAGATTTAGGATATTGAACCATAATAGGTAAATGTCTAATTTAAAATTTTTAAGTTCTTAGACCACATTGATTTTGTGTCAGAAACCTATGCCATGTATGCTGTGTCAAATATTTAATCACAAACCAAATTCAGAGCTGTATCAAGCTTGAATATTGTGTCAATACTTGCCCCATCTGTTTGGGGTTCGACCTCTGCGGTCGTATCAAGCTGCGCCCTGGGGAGCATTTTATTTTAAACTAGACAGCAGAATAGATCATTTTATATTAGAAAAAGTTCATACTATACTAAGACGGGCTTAGGCTATACATATATTATTAATATTAGCTACACTTTTGATCTTTTTGTTGTTTGTTGCATATTTGTTTCCATTCACTCAAAAGTAAAAATATAAATTAGTGAGCATCAGTTCATACTACATCTACAAAAATGATCTTGTTTTTGTCTGGACTTCTGGATTAAATTAAGATTTACAATTTTAGCTTGTTACCATGGTTACCAAATGAAAGGAAAGTACAGTATTATAATCACTGGTGTACATGTAGGTGCGGATGTCAGGCAAAAAGAACTGGTATCAAAGTAAGTTCATCTGTTGAATTGCAGTTAATTTAAATAATTTAATGTTATCTATTTAAAACTTTTTCAAGTGTAATTGTACATGTTACAGCATGTATACCATGTATACTGTTGTTTATTTCTGTCTTTCTGATGTCAAGTATGCATCAATTTGGGGGCCTTCGGCTGTTGTCTGCTCTATGGTCGGGTTGTCGTCTCTTTGACACATTCCCCATTTCCATTCTCAATTTTATCAAGGAATCCTTCTGCTCCACACACACACACGCATAAGATGGTCAGAAGTTAAAATAATTATAGCATTTGCTTATATTATGAATTGTATATTTAAAAGTTGTTCTTGTCTTGAATATACATAAAATATTTGCCACTGAATCTTAAATTAAGCTAGAAAAGTCAATCAATTATTGTTTTTGCATTATAGGAAAGAGTTTTCAAACATATAACAATTGAATAATTTCCTTTTAAGTTTTTTTAGGAACCAGCATAAAAATATAACATGTTTAACATGTATAAGGAGATGAGGTACATGTATGATTCTCAATGTGACAACTATCAATTAAAAAACCAAAGGACGAAGATGTAAACATTTCCTGGTCACTGTACAGCCATAAACAATGATCAAAATCCATACCATAAAGTAACCTGTTATGGCTATAACTTGTATAAGGATGAAAAAATGTGAACCAATGAAAAAAATAAAACTACACACTGTGACACAGTATGGCAGACAGCACCCAACATAAGAAACACCTGTCAAAATCAGCCAGAAAGGGCTGGACTCATCAACAAGCACTTAAAAAGAAATTACAAAATAATAAAAGATGCAAAAATTATGTTTTCCCAAACTAAAATATCTATCAATTCACCTTCGACAGATTTAATCAATTAATGTAACAACAAAACATTTGTCATTTCAAACAGTCTAAGAAAGCATGACTTTGTGTAATGCCAAAATATTGAACTCACAAGAATATGTAGGACCATAACAGCATATAAGTATTAATAATTGCATAGAATTTCTATTTCTGAAATACATGTTCTGCTTTTTGTCAAGCTTGCAAATTTATTTCACGAAAGCGAGACAGTGATCCTAGATTCTGCCAGGGGTGGCGTCGCTGTCCTAAAATATAGGTTCAGTCTGTGGTTAAAGTTTTTTTGTAATGTTAATTTCTCTCATTAATATTATTTATAGTTATCCTGGTAATAGGATTTTTCTATTTACTTAGTATGTGGGTACCTTGCAAGGTCCTATAGCTAGTGTCTGTCTACTCTGTCAGAAAGTTATCGTGGTCAAGTCAATATCTGAGGCATTATAAGCAATAAGTTATACTTACTATATTTGGTGTAAGGAATTATTGTAAGGTGTAGATGTCCAACTGGCAGTTGTAATGATGGCCGATTGAATTTTTTCAAAAGAGTTATGCCTCTTGGAAATAATACATTTATGGAAAATGGCCTGGTAAATGCTCTAAAATTTTTTTTATTAAACTTATAGTATACTATTATAGTAATGCCCTTGAAGGTCAGTTTGAAATATTTAGTATACAAGAAAAACAACTTTTTTTTTGCCTCAAGCACATTTTTTATTTATAAATATTTTTGAGAACAAAAAAACGTTGTTTTTTTTTAATCATGTTAATATTGCCCCTTGATAGATAAACTATAGGCTCTCAAGAGCCTGTGTCGCTCACCTGACTACTTGGGTTTTTGAAATCATATAAAAAAAGATAAAAATCATAACAGATACTTATAATAATGTTTGAGGCCAAATTTGGATTAATATTGCTATGTTTGCTTTCATTCCATTCAGTGGTTCTCTAAAAGAAGACATTTGTATGTATTTCCCGTAGGGTCCTTTGTTAAACTAAGCCCCCCGCTGGTGGCCGTCTGGGATGATGGATCGGCTACAAAGTAACAACACTTGGTCAGCACCTCATGAGGAACATTCATGCCATATTTGGTTCCATTCCATTCAGTGGTTCTCAAGAAGAAGTCAAAAATGTAAAAAGTTAACGACGACGATGGACGATGACGTACCTTCGGGCCATGTGAGCTAAAAATTTGCGACTAGGTGGACATTGAAACTTTGTTCTTTTATTTCTACTTGCAGGAACTGAAAAGTAAAGAAACAGAACCAAAGAACATTCATTTTTAATTAATACAATATTGAGCTCAAAGTCAATCTAGTTGTCTTTCTTAATCATACAGGATATTTACAAAAAGCAGCTGCATACACATGCACCAGTAATATACAGCAGTGAAGACAATTAAATATCTGTGTATGGAGGTATAGCAATAGAAATATCACATACATCATAGGAAAATAGAATACAGACAATAGAAATGGAGTATGTCAAAGAGACAAAAATATGAAAATAGAATATAGACAATAGAAATGGAGTATGTCAAAGAGACACACATATGAAAATAGAATATAGACAATAAAATTGGGGTATGTCAAAGAGACAAACATGAAAATAGAATATAGACAAAAGAAATGGGGTGTGTCAAAGAGACACACATATGAAAATAGAATATAGACAATAGAAATGGGGTATGTCGAAGAGACAAACAAATGAAAATAGAATATAGACAATAGAAATGTGGTACAATGTATGTCAAGGAGAAAAAAATATGAAAATAGAAGAGACAACAACTTAATAAAAAAAATTCTACTTTATATAAACATTATGGAGCACTTATTGTTTTTTATTTGTTTGAGCTTTTGATTTTGCTATGTATTTTCTGTGGAATTTGGTATTTTGGTTTTTTTACTTTTTAAAGCAACAACTCATCATAATGAAGTATTCACACTCAAAATGAGTTCCTGTCAGAAAAAAAAGATAACAAATTAAAGAAAAACATATTAAAAAACATCAAAACGTTACCCTTAAAAACCTATCGCAAAAAAAAAAATACACATATATACAAACCATGTTTAGAATCTATGAAAAAATAAATGCATTTGAACAATTAAAAACATAAAAAATATATATTTAGGACCAAGATAAAATCATATGAAAACATATGTTTGGGCCAAACATATGAAAACATATGTTTAGGACAAACATATGAAAACATATGTTTAGGCCAGGTATGAAAACATATGAAAAACATATGTTTGTAAAAAACATATGAAAAACATATGTTTTTCATATGTTTACATGTATGAAAAACATATGTTTTTCATATGATTTTAAAAACATATGTTTTTCATATGTTTTCCATATGTTTTTCATATGTTCGAAAACATGTTTTCATGTCGGGCCTAAACATATGTTTACATATGTTTTCAAACATATGAAAAACATATGTTAAACATATGAAAACATATGTTGCAATTTTTCCTATGTACTAACTAGCTTTTTCTGAGTTTTCTCTGGTTTATATTTTCCATTAGCAGTATTGACCATCAACTATTCGGACCACGAGGACAATACAGCTAACCTCAAGACTATATGACGGCCAATTTAACACAGCCAGTCCGTAAAACATTCGTTTAAAGATTCTTATCAGAGAATGAGATGTGGTATGATTGCTAATGAGACATCTATCCAAAAGAGTTTACATTATGTGCATTTAGCAAATATAGATCACCGTACGGCCTTGACCAATGGGCAAACCGGCATCGTTATTGGTATTTTTAAGCTTTAAATAAAGCTAAAATAGTAGTATACCGCTGTTCAATAGTCATAAATCGATTAAGACAACGATCTATATATGAAAAAAATGAAGCAATTCAAACAACAACAAAAAACAACGGCCTGATTTATGACAAAACATAAACAAAAAACAGAGATGACAGACATCAGCCCACTTTATTCTTACTGTTAACACCAGTTTCATCTATAGGTGTTACTGAAAGCTAGTTGAAAAAATATAATAAGGTCTGAAATAGCTTTATAGTGTCATAAGGTCATTTGTTTGTTTAACAATGTTTAATCAGAGAACTTATTAATATATTTAACCATTTCTATATGTTTTTCCTTTAAGTTAATCTGTGTTAATTTCAGATCTTGTAGCACCTCTTTTAAAATTATTTGTGAAGGCTCTGGATAAAAGATACTAAAGGAGTACTCAAACTCATACACTGAAAGCAAACTGACAATGCCATGATAAAAATCGAAAAAGGACGGAAAGACAACCAACAGTACATAAAACACAATAGGGAAAACTAAAATCTGAGCAACACAAACCCCACCAAAAACTTGGGGTGATCTCCGGTATTTTGGAAGGTTATACAGATTCTGCTCCTCACGTGGCACCCGTCGTGTTGCTTATGTAAGTTCAAAACCAGTGTTTGATAAGTTTACTTCGGTAGGTAGATTAGATCCGGATCCTTTTTTGGCAAAAGTAATAAAATGTTGGACTTCAGATCAGATAACTCTAGTCTCTCTATATCGTGTTTTGTCTTTTTTTAAATAGGAACACTCTTAAGATTGGCGTTATTTTGAAAGATAAATCTAAAACATCACTCCATATCCATAATAGTGGTCGAAATAATAAAAGTTCTTTCAATATTTGTCTAAATTTTACATATTACGGAGGTAACATGCTAAAATTCAGAGGTTAAATTTTACTGGCGTTCTAGTCGACATTGATTTTACATTCAAGATAACAAAACAACGGAAATAGTTATCACAGTCCAACAGTACTACAACATTTCATTAATGAGTTTCTGTTTCTCAATGAGAACTTGTTTCGTCCAAGGAGGTATTTTGATTAATAGATATAAGAAGATGTGGTATGAGTGCCAATGAGACATCTCTCCATCCAAGTCAAAATTTATAAAAGTAAACCATTATAGGTCACAGTATGGTCTTCAACACGGAGCCTTGGCTCACACCAAACAGTAAGCTATAAAGGGCCCCCCAAATTACTAGTGTAAAACCAGGGGCGGATCCAGGATTTTGGAAAGGGGGGGTGTAGTAATAAAGTTCGCCGAGCGGAGCGAGGCGAAAATTTTTTTAGACCTTTTTTTGGCTAAAAAACATAAAATAAGTGTAAAATGCATTTTAAAGTTAAAGTGTAGGGGTTGGACATTTTTGGTGCCGTATTCTCTCCATTAATTGTCTATTATAAAATGATTGGATGGATCCAAAGCTATGTACTAATTAATATATTTGATGTGGGATTTGTCAGTAAAAAATGAACATGGAAAATTCTCGTTTGTTGTATGGTTAGTTAGCATAACCTCACAGATTTCTTGTTGTAAACAAGATATAAGGCTATTCAATGAAAACACTACGACCGACACGAAGAAAGACAAACAAGCAATTTGTATCCAAATGTTTGGTTGAAATGTTTCAACCAACAAAGGAAGTGAGGGGTTCCAAATCAACCAAAGGCTACGAATGAGTCGGAAATGACAATGAAGTTGTGAATGACGGTCGACACATAGAGACATATAGGCCACACCTAGCAGGCAGGTTGCTGTCGGGCCTTGAAAAAAGTATTCAGTATATCAGTTCGGCGAAACAGCCATTCCGGTCAGATATGGGATTCACATGCAACCCCCCAAAAAATAATTACGCCCGTTTTTTTATTCATCATGTTCATTTAATGCTAAATAATTTTGTTGAAAATACTTTTTTCTAATAGCAAAAAAGTGGACAAGATTATTGTTTTCAATCCAGATACGGCCAGAATTTTTGTTTAAGGCAAAAATCAGGGTAAGAATTTTTTCTCTAAAATATCTCAGACTGCCCCCTCAAATCAAATGGTCCGTACCTTAGACTTTAAATCTATATCTAGAGCTTACTGACTGGGGATCACTATTCAGCAATGTTATTAATGGGCTGGGGCGTGCTCAATACTTTGTCGCTTTGAAGGCGTCATGCTTGTCATCCTCAGCCTAAGCAATGTGTTACTGTAATTTAAATTTCAAATGACTGAGTGACGTTTTTTTTCGACGTACTGGTCAACTCCACCGTAGCGAATCACATGACTTTGACATAATCAATAATATATTACAGTAAATACGAGCGAAAAATATCTTTATAAGTAAAGAATTGTCGCATAAAAATTAAATACACGGGAAATGGCAAAGTTCGCGAAGTCTAGTCTGATTAATCATTTTACAAAAAAAAAAAAAAAAAAAGTGCAAGCAAAGGGGGGGCGTACGCCCTCTACGCCCCCCTCTGGATCCGCCACTGAAAACCATTCAAACGGGAAAACCAACGGTCTAATCTATATAAAAAACGAGAAACGAGAAACACTTATGAACCACATCAACAAACGACAACTACTGAAAAGCACGTTTGTATTCTTTTTATCTACTTCAGTCAAAAATATTTGACAGAGCTTTGTTAATGGTTTTTGAACATATTACTAACATCTGTGACGTGTCTCTCTCCCTCTCTCTAAGAATAATCATGCCAATCATGAATATTGAGATCGCAAAAAAATATTGTTAAATGACGTCTCATATTCATGTGGCTGTCCTATGTCAATTGATTAAATTATCACCATGACAAGACAGCTATTAATAACAAATATTTTGTTCAATAACTACCTAAAACAGCTTAATGGTTAAGTTTATATTTGTGCATACATAACTTTTATGTTTACTTCTTTATATATTTTTTATTTTATTTATTATGATTAGGAGAATTTAGAACTTGTATGTGTTTGATAGACGCATGTCGTGTGTTTGAATGACATGCTTACCTTTTATGTGTAGGTTGTTGTTCCATTGACCTACACACTGCTTCTTCTGATATTCTTTGTCAATGTACATTTCCAAGGGGAACCATGCTGATTCGTTTAATCGTTATATAAAATACAGTTGATTGCTGCATTCGCAGATAATGTACATGTTGGTTTTAATTTTAGGTGATAATACAAATTCGCAATGATATTTATATACCTTTTCTCATAAATAAGATTCGAAAATATTATTTTTATATTTTTGTTTTATTTGATAATTGACTATAAGTTATTACGATTAAAATATCAAAAAATTATCTGAGTTTAAGGTTTTCTCGAAATGTTTAACTGATATTGATGTTGATCTAGTCATCACAACTGAACTTAATGTTGTTGTTTTTTAATATCACGTGTTTGACCGATCAGATAAAACACATTAGTATGCAAACAATTAAATTCATGTACAGATTTGATAAAGGCTGTAAAATATCTAGTTATAGATATAATTCAGGAAGTTATTACTAAGCTGAATTTAAATCTATACTAATAAACGGAAATAGAGCTTCAACTTATAAAAATGTTAAACTATATGTGTGAATGCCTTCTTAAGACTAACGAACATACGTATTTACATATATGCAACGAAAAAAAGTATTTCGATTGGACGATTAATCTTAACATTATCAAGATGCTTGATTTCTTTGTTGACAGCATATTTGTTACGTTTGGTGAACGTGTTATTTCAAAAAACAATCGGCATTCCCATCGGAACCAACTGTGCTATTCTTCTTGCCGACTTGTTTCTTTATTTATATGAGGCTGACTCCATATAAGAACTTCTTAGGTAAA